ATCTAGGGTTTGGGTTTAGAACCGCTAGTGCCTTAGAGGACCACAGACTACTCCATAAAAGAGAGAAGAAGAAACATAGAAGAGATTGAAGAAGACTTGGGTGAGGAAGATGCTCCCTCTCTTCTAGCTCCCTCTTCTTCCTTCAGCTTCTCTCTCTTCTCTCTCTCTCTAAAACAAGAAATTTCTCTCAAAATTAGCTCATCTAAAAAAAGGGGAAATGGGTCTTCTATTTATAGACAATCTGGGGACGGAGAAGGTCGAGACCAGAAGCACAGAGATTGCAGTCGTGATCTGCGGAAGTGAGACCGTGATCTTGGAATGGTGTCGTCATGGCCTTCGGAAATGAGGATATCGCGGGCTAACTTAGCGGGCGCGATCTTCCTCGCGGTCTGATAACACTATGGTTGTGATTTGACTGGGAAAACTCTATTTTTCTCCTTGGCTCCTTCCTCGTGAAGTTCGCGCCCTGAGCCCTCCAATTCGCGACCGCAATCTTGGGCTTCCAGGCCGCGCGTCTTCAGCTTGCGTTCCCGGGCTATCTTTCCGACCACTATCTTCAACTTCTTACCCCTTGCTACACTTGTGACCTTTTTTTGTACCTAATTCGCATATATCGTCTAATACACCCTAAAATCATATCAAATTCACATAGGAACGAAATAGGGATGTAATCGACGATGTTCAAGCAATTATGAACATGAATTGGCATAAAACAAACCTTGATATGATAACACTAATTTAAGTGTTATCACTAACAAACATTCTACCACTGGCGCCAACATAAGCAAAAATAAGAAAGAAAAGACAAACGAAGAACATAAAAGATCAGAATCATGACCAAGCAACAAGCAAAAGACCACAGAAGAGAAAGGGAAAGGGAATAGCAACTCCTCCCCTTCATCAATCATCCATGAAAAGGTAAAACCCACCATCTTTCATCCATCTCATAGCCATGATGAATCTCATCTTCAACAAAAACTAATGAACATCACTTAAACTACAAGTTGACAGATTTTGTTAAACAAAATGAGTAAATTAACAACCCCAAGCAACTCCAATCAAATTGCAATACGACTAATTTCACCATTATCACAAAATAAATTAGCAAATGATTTCTAATGCTTTATTTACAAGACCGCTTATGTTGCTTTACTTTTATTTACAAGTTCTCTACATTTCTGTTCACATCTATTTGAGTTGCTTTTTAGTTTTTATCATTTAAAGCACTTCTATGTTTAGGCAATTCGTAAAACAAACCAAATTTGTTTTCTTTCTTCGGTTTTAATCGCTTTAATTTACTCTATATTCGATTGCATACCAGGCCGACATCATATGCAACTAAAACATATTTTTGAAAATCACATCAAACTGAGAGATATCATCAAAAACTTCTGTCGCACAACTAGATTTACAAATCACTCCCCAATGACATTTGAACACCCATCACAGATTGCTAACCTGAAAGACAATAAGACTTCATCACAAGCAATAACAGTGTTTTTAGTAATTTAACAAGTTGATTTCTCTACCTTCAGTTTAGTAGTTTTAACCAAAACCTTGCGGTTTTTGAAATTCCAAGTCCATCCCCCAAGTTAAACAACCAAATATAAGCATAAAGTTTCTCAAAATAACAAAACCAATCGAAAAACCAAACCTAGAACTAAATCTAAGTTTTGACCCACTACCCTCCAAAACCCAAAAAAACAACCCTACATACCTGTCAAATTTCCAGATCCAACACGACAACCCCACAAACTACCCAAATCGAATCCACCACACAGACCACAAAAAGTTCCAATTTGCATACAATCCAAACCAGAACCAAAATAATTCAAGACGGTCACCGCAAATTTCCCAGATTCCCCAAAAATTCAGAAGTCAACAATGACCAAAAACGAGTCTCCAATGGGATTGGAACCCTAAGCCTTAAACTCAACGTGTTTCTCCCACCGCCGTTTGCCTGTGAGGCTTTCCCCGACTGCCTCTGTTTCCTCCTTTCCTCCTTATGGTCAAAACATAAGAATGAGAACAAAGTGAAAATCTGTCAACATCAGTAAAACATAAATAAACCATAAAAAACCTACCTCGAAGAACCTCATCCATCATTCTGGGTTTTCCCTCGTCGCCAGAGGTCCTAGCCAGTCGGCGGCCTCCTCTCGTTCTTTCTTCTCTGCTCGGTTAGACTCAGAAAAGGGAACACATCAAATGCGATCAAAACCCTTAACAACCGATCGAACCCCAAAAATCTAAATCAAAACACCAAGTGAAATACTCGATCAAACATAAAAAAAATACTAAAAATCAACACGTGAACCCAAAATCGACTAGATCTTAGCTTCGTCAACACTATCATCATCGTCAACAGCGTCAGAGACCACCGTTCTTGCCATCACCGTTGTTGTTCTTTCTCTGCTTGTTGTCGTTACCACGAAGAAGAGAGAGAGGGAGGGAGCAGATCGGAAGGGGTCAAAGGATGGAAAAAGGAAAAAAAACGAGGGGAGAGGGAAGGAGATAGGAGGAGAATCATGACCACTATCTGGCTATTGTGCTCTGACCGTCGTTGCTGGCGTCAAACCTTTTCTTTTCTTCGACCATTTTCTGCTGGAAAGAAGAGAGGAGAGGAAGAGAGGGGGGTGAGCGGCGCTTAGGTTAGAAAAATGATCTAGGGTTTCAGTTTTTGGCTTAGAGGGAGTTATATACTCCCGGGGCCGAAAGGACTAAACTACCCCTCCGATTTTTACAAAAACTACGCCAATTGCCACTGCCCTCTTCAACTCTAAACGACCACAAATAAAACCCTTCGACAATTCAAACCAACGACCTGAAAGTCGTGTTAATTTTACAATCAACAATTTAAACCATTAGGCTGGGCGCCTGCCAGTTGTTCGGGTATTAACTTCAATCGATGAAAACTTTAATTAATCTGAATACTTAACATACAAAAATCCTTAATGCGAAATGTCGATGGTCAATAGACTATGATAACATTCTCGTATTAAGTCTCAAATTGGTTTCCAAAGGATATACAATTCGTTTCACTCTTTTTAATATCAAACCTTATCACGTATCAATAGGACATGTTGAGTTCCTTTTTACTAAAATCATTTGTTATTAAGAACGAACTACGTGGACTTTGATCCTGACTACTCAGGTACGTAGGCAACCAATGCGTTCGAGTCCAACTAATCAAATTTTCTCCTCTTAAATCATAAATACCAAATTACATCTATTAAATTATAAAATCAATTATTATCTTAATCATGTTTCAATAGCTACGTGTTAAGATCCCCTTTCCAAAATATATCAACTTAATCGAACTACGTGGACTTTTATCCCGACTATTCGGGTACGTAGACAACCAATAGGTTCGAGCCCAAATAATCCAAAACTCTTTCTTTACTTTTGTGATTTCTGTCAATAGACGTATGATCAAATCATGTATTAATAAATACCTAATTAATAGAATCTTATAATTAAGCCAAATAGTAATACACCAACCCTTTAAAACTCATCGATTTAAGTAGTACCCATTTGGGGCGTTGTGGGGTGTGAATACACTTTCCCACACGTAACCGTACTCCCATACCCATAATCTCTAAATTCGCAAACCAAATTTCGTTTCGGCTCTAAGGTGGAAACCAGACCAATTAGTGTTCGACCCACTACAACTAAGGTCGATGGCGACTCCGAGCAATTCGCGACGGATCCCGCGATCCTGAGGGGCAGTTGCGACAGGCGGCAATGCCAATGACCCCCTTAAAATGACCACAAGTAGAAACCTTAAAATGACCACAAGTATAGACCTTAACGACGAAAATGACCACAAGTAGAGACTACTTAACTGTGAAACCCTTATTTCGCCATCCTAGCCCCAAATCCAGTTCGCTCAAGATCTAATTGCAGCAATCGACGACGCCTCTCCCAAGAATTGTCGAACCAAAGCATTTCCCCATCGTCGAGCTCTTTCTTCCATAATCGCCTTAGGAATCCACAACGCCCCATTCACATGAAATCAAGCTTATTATCATAGTGAATCTCGAACATTGACGCCCAAAATCGTAGCGCACCCGAAGAAGAAGTAGAACTTGTTGAGTTCATTTGAGAGAAAGAAAAGAAAAAGAAACCAGGGACGAGGAGCGCCTACCTGTAGCGAAGCCTCGTTGGCGATCACCACTCAACCAAGAGAAGAGAACCACTAGTTTGTTAGAGAACTAATAAAGAGGATATTTCTCTCTAGCAAAATAAAATTACTTTAATAACGAAAAAGATTGGGTGACCAACATTAAATTAAAGAAAGGCGACAGACAACAACATCTAGAAGCAAAAAATGGAATGTCGACAAGGTAGATAAAAAAAGTGTGACAACGGTCTTGATCGATCAATAATCAAATCTTCCTACTTTGCACTCAACACGGAACAAGGAAATCAGTTTAATTTTTGTTGATTGGTACTCAATTCATTTTTATTAAACTATTCCTTTGTAGATAAAAAAAATTGTGTGACAACCATCAATAATAAAATCTTCCTACTTTGTACCTGAAAGAACAATTTGGCCTTTGTCGCAATAAATTTATTTTGCTTAAACTATTTCTTTGTAAGAATGAAAATTATTCATCGATTAGATGATTACTCCACACGAGATTAACTTACTTTCATTCAATAGTCGAATGAGTTATTTTAAGTATATCTTTAAATCAGTTTAAGGATTTATTGCTCCATTTTAGCTTATGTTTCTCAATCTGTTTATTTAGACGAAGTAGAAATAATCTAATTAGTAATTATATGGTCACTTCTTCAACTTCGCATGTTACTGCATGCAGTATAGTATGGAAACTTGCAAAGCATACTTTCATTTCAAGTGATGTTTTACTTTAGTGACCATATAGTTAGTGAAAATAGTTATGTGATCGGTTTGACAATTATCTCATACATAAGTGATCATTGTGTGATTTCACCCTCTATATATACACTACCGATCGGATTCCGACATAAGCTGGGATATCTCGATCTCCTGCGTCTAGCTCTGGTCTGTGGGTGGTCGAAGTCGAAGGGCGGGGTAAAAGAAGGGATGACTAGCGCAATCGATACCCTTCACAGCAATTAATCTCTATTTTGATGAACCGACGAGATAAGACCGGCGGCAAAAGTTTGTTGTGTCCGGTAGTTCCGCCTACGCTCAGCCGCCGTCGGCAGGTACGCAAAGCTTCTGTCCCGATAGAATTAAATGTATTTTTCTATGATCCAGCTCTCTTCTGAAAAGATCGACTATTGAGTGCCATTGGGACCTGGACTCCTTCGTTCTCGCCTTGATGTCTGCTTGGAATTTGCGTTCGTTTCGCCGATAGATCACAATAAACTTAATTATTCCAACTCCTTGTGGTATATTACTCTTTTGATGTTGTCCAGTGAGCCTCATCTCGCTGATTCGGTCTCTTGTCAGGCATATTTCAGAAGACTTTTTGACGGTAGGTTTCGCCCTGTAGGTCTAGGGTTTAACTTAGGTTGCATGAAGGTCCTAATCGCTATATCTGGCAAAACTGATTTCGTTGCAGCTTCTTAAAGGTTTAGAAATAGCTCACCATATTACTGTGGCAGTTGTTTCGGATTTGCCATGATGTAATTTGATTACTCTTTTGGAAGAGAGAATCCAGAAATTTGGCTGGGTTTGTTGGATAATTAATTTGCCAAAGGAAGCTATAGGTGGGTAGAGCTTGCCATTTTTTCGGGTGTAAAAAAAAAAAAAAAGGCTCAGAGGCATCACTACTCGTCCATGTATATTTGTTTTGATATGCTCCGGGAATCCTCATGTCATCCATGTTCCCTTGCTCTTTCATGGCCCATACATGCCAAGCACGATTATGTGACTATTTTTTGTTCCCTAAATACAGGTCATGTTGTAAAGACTTCTTGGGCATGGTTTCTTCAAAATCCTTTCCCCATAGACATTACAGCTTTTCCTCTAGGAAAAGGCTAAAAGTTTCAAGTTTCGAACATCATGAGACAGGTTCTCAGACCTGTATTGGAGACTTTGATGATGTTTCCACGGTAATGCATTCGGACTCGAAAGAATGCTTGCTTCATGGGTAATGCATCTTTGATCTCCTTTCTCCCCCCTGTTGTTCTTGTAATGGTATTTTTGATAGACTTTAAATGGTGTCCATTTCAATCTACAATGGCAGGTGCCATCATTGTGTTTATGCGTCTTCATCTTGCTATAATATGCTGGAAGACACAAATCCTGCCTTAGAGATGGATTGCGAGTTGAATGGAGAAGGCAGTGATGTTCCAGTTACTTCTAATGATGCTGGTGCCAGTAAATCGGTTTACCCACTGCCTGCATTTGTGACTGGCTGGATGTATGTTAATGAGCTTAACCAAATGTGTGGTCCTTATATTGATGCACAGTTGCACGAGGGTCTGTCATCTGGTTTTCTTCCTGGGGACCTTCAAGTGTTTCCTGTACTAAACCAAAGAATAACGAATCCTGTTCCCCTGAGGTACTTTCAACAGTTCCCAGACCATGTCCAATCGGGTTTCATGTACCTTGGCTCTGGCATCTCCAATGCACTTTTGCCTATGCCTGATTCTGCCTCAGCAACTCATGGACCAGAAGGCCATGGTTGGAGTTCTTCCTTGGCTTCTAACTCACAAAAAAAGCATGGAAAAGGAGAGTCTGTTCCAGTATTCCCATATTCTGAATTGGTAGTTGTTGACTTATTTCTATCCTCCTTTCCCTCGAAAAGCCTCCCTCCTGTTATGTCTTGTCCCTACTCCAGTATTTTTTTCCTGCATGTGTGATGTTTTTGTCATTCACTTCTTTCAGTCAGAAGACGATTCTTGTTGGTTGTTTGAGGACGATGAGGGAAAGAAACATGGTCCTTATAACCTACTGGAGCTTTATTCCTGGCATTGCTATGGATATCTTCGGGATACGTCGATGGTAAGCAGGACATGTGTTTTATTAAGAGAGAATTGTATGCCTTGCATTCCTGTCATGTTTGTATTTTAGTTTGAGTAATCGATCAAAATGGTCATAGAGGTTTGGGCCTGTAACAAATCGTTGCAACGTAAAAAAAGTTATAAAAAGGTCATATATGCATCAGGATATAGCAAATCATTTTGTCTTTTTCCATCCATATTGTCATCGAAAATGCTCAGTTAGCTTGCCAACTCGCAACAAAAATTAATAAAAATATCATACACCTAAAGAATCCTAAAACTTATCTCTGAACTAGAGCAGTTAACTGGGCATTTTGGATGGAAATATGGATGGAAAGACACGGAGTGGATATTTGTTATATCATGATATGTACGTTACCATTTTGTTATTGGCTCAAACATATGTGATCATTTTGATCAACTACCCATTTTAGTATTGTGAACCAAAGTTACTGAACTGGCTAGACAGTGGATCAGCATCCATATATCTACTCTCTACGAGTCCTATGTAGATGTAATAAGGATGGGCAGCCTTACATCATGTAGCCATAAGCAGTTGCTGCTTTGGCTCTTTGCAGTTTCTGTTTTTTATGGCCTTACGACATGTAAAAGAAAGATTTTAACCTGGTTTTCACTATCTTGAGCTATCACCTCCATGCCTTAAGGCTTATTTTCTCAGACCCGTATCCCAATGATCTTGATACATAATACCTGTTATTTAGAAACATGTATCTGTCTTCATTAGAGATGTTCAAACTTTTGTCTGTGTTTGTCCTTCAAGTGGGAGATTTGTGTTCTTAGATGTCTGACTCTTGGACTTGCTTCTAAAGTGATGCACTGCCCTTCAACATGATAGTCTCTTTATGTTTGCTTTCCTTCTAATCCTTAAAATTTTTTCTCTTCGTACTACTTGTCGATTTTTATGCCTTTTTGTTTTTCGTCTACATGTTGCCTGAAGTGTTCTTTTGGATTTAATCATTGGGTTCGTTATCTCAGAAAAAGGGAACTAATACTTTAAGGTCCAACTGTTGGTTTCTATCTCACAGATCTTTTACAACCTGCATATCTTTCGGTTGCTTTCTTTCCTAGGCTTGGGTCTAATCCTTCGAAAAATTTCTCGCAATACGGCTTGTCTTTTTTTTTATGCCTTTGTGTTTTTGTCTACTTGTTGCCTGAAGTGTTCTTTTGGAATTAGTCATTGTGTTGCTTATCTCAGAAAAGGGAATTGATAGTCTTAGGTCTGGCTGTTGACCTGTATGAAACAGATCTCTTACAACATGGATCTTCTGCTATTTTTTCAGTTATGTTACTTGGAAAATTTACTTTAATAGTCAAATCAACTATAACATTTCTAAACTCTATTCTACTTTTTCTGTATTTTTCCTGTTATGTATCGACAGATACATCACACACAGAAAGATGCTGGGCCCTTTCCTCTGCTGTCTGTTCTGGACGCATGGAGAACAGCTAGGGTTGAATCAAGATCTGCACCTAATGTTATGTTGGAAAGTTGTTCTCCAGAGAACTTAACACGAGAAATATCTCAGGAAATTTCCTCTCAGCTGCACTCAGCAATAGTGAAAGCAGCTCGAAGAGTCGTCCTACATGAAATTATCAGTAACAGTATTACGGAGTTTCTTGATGTGAAAAAGACTCGTGGACTTCCAAAGCTGGATATTCAAACTGCTGAAACTCACCCCAGCAAAGGTGAAGTGGTAATGTCTTCACTTGCTACTCTTCCTTTTTAGGTGTGGTTCCTTTGTGTCACAGTGGAAGTAATAATGTTGGCTATTATTTAGCAGTCTGGTTTCAATGATCTGAAGCTAATTCATATTGTTATTGAGTATGATCCTGTGGCTTGCAAGTATTTGACCTCGGAAACATCTGTTGTTGCAATGCAGTTGCCCAAAAACACAAAATCTGTTGGCAGTATTGATAACTTCCAGGTCTCTCACGCTGTTCTTTGTAGAGCTCTTTTCAACTGTTGCATGGAAGTTCTTTGGAATGCTGTTTGTTATGATACAGTAGTAGAGTATTCAGCTTCGTGGAGAAAAAGAAAAATCTGGTCTGGTCATTCTCAGAATGGATTTCCTTCGGACCTTGATATCTATGGCAAAAAGTTTCAAGCATCAGTCACAGATTTTGTATGTCCTTAGCTTATTCATGTTTTCATTCTCAACATGTTTGTGCTTTTGTTGAATCACTAAAGCTATGATTTGATGGTTTTACAGTTTCTACCCACAGAGGAGATATCTGGTTGCGATGGTGACTGCCCCCCTGGTTTTGAGTTTGTTAGAACCAGAACAGAAAATCAAACTGGAATACCTGATACAAAAGAGCTGATCCTTAAGCCATCAGAAGAGACTATCCCATCGTGCATGGATTGCAACAACGATGACATAAAATGTTTCTCGGAGAGTGTGGAAAATGAACTTCATAAGTCTACTAATGCTTGTTTGGTTGCGTTTGTTGGAACTCTTGTTAAGGAGGAAGTCATTAGAGTAGCTAACATTAGAGAGGATGGCAAAATTGCTGACATTGCTGTAAGAAGTTTTTGGCTCTATGCTTCCCTCATTAATTTTTTTCCCATTGTTTTGGTTGTACTTTGTTTTAGCAAGTGACCGATGTAGAATCCTTTTCAGATTCATGGCGCTGATGAGTTCACCAATCCAGTACTACATGAAGAACAGAGTGGCTCCACTGGAATTCCTCTCAGCAATCCTAAATGTGCATCCCTAGCTGTTGCTAACCAGCTTGCTTTAAAGAATACTACATCTAGTTTTCTTGCAAGTACTTTTGGGAAGGCGCATATATGTGGCCTAAATGTTGCTTCTTCACCTACACCACCTGGATCTGAAGATGGTGTTACCACTCTCCTACCACCCTTATGTAAATTCCATGTGTCAACATCCAATGAGCCTCATTCTAGGATTAAGCAATACATTGCCTTGGCATTATGCAGGCAAAAGTTGCATGATAATGCAGTTGGCGAATGGAAAAATTGTTTTTTTGATGATCTTCTCCAGCAGCACTTTCCATCATTTTTGGCTTTTGCGGAAGGGTGTGGGTTTGATGGTGATAAGGTACCTGAATTATTGTCTTTGAATATTCTGGCATATCTGCTTTAATGTGCTTTGCATGCAATTCAAACAGTCGCGCTTAGAAAAGTACTATAAGGCAGGCATGTTAACACAATTTTCTGGTTTCCTGATTTTTGTCCTTGCTTTGGTGAAATACTTCCCTTTTCCTTGCCCTTTTTCTATCTTAGGGAGGGGTAGACAATCAAAGTGGGGAATCGCTGAAATTATGTATGTCAAAGTCTGTGGGCGGTTGTTCCCCTACTGGTAAGTACACATACTATCGAAAGAAAAAGACGTCTCGTACAAAGCTAGCATCGTCTTTGGAATTGGTGTCTCCAGCCGAATCGCGGGGCCAGCTGTTAGAATCATCTAGAGAGCACATCTCGCTCAAGATTGCTGCAAAGGCTGCAGAAGCTGAACGCTCTGTTTCGAAACACACCAAGACTGACATATATGAGAGCCAGAAGAAACTGTCTCTTAGTTCTAGGCCTTTGAAAGGCATTGCAGAAGGAAGCAGACGACTCGAACGTTCATCGGCCAGGAAGACTAGTTGTCGCAGAGTGAAGAAAACCACACAGGCAGTTCAAGGTATTCCACTTCCTAAAAGATGTTCCTCTATCACAACATACTTGTGCATGGAACAGCTTGTGACTCTATATAAACAGGTGATGAGTTCACAGATAATGCTCACAAGACCTCCAGGAGTGTTGTGGATTCTCATGATGTTGAGAATGAGACCAATGACAGTAGCTCCACTGCTGGAGTTAAGAACTCTCCTACCCTTAATATTTCCAAGAAAAAACTATACTGTAAGCAATCCCATGGTAAGAAATGTTAGAGGAGACACCTTCCCTTTAAGAATTTCCATCCCTGATTATTTTTTTGCTACCCCTTCCTGATTATGGATTGTCTTGTTCTTTCTGGAGATACAAAACCATCCAAGCTGAAAAGGAAGCATTTACCCATTGGTACTGGATTGCCAGTACAATGCACCAAGATCGTGAAAACAGAGAATGTCAGTGACAAGCAAGCTCTTCCACATGTTGGATTGGAAAACAAAAAGTCCCGCAGTTTCCAATTGTCTATCACCTGTCCTCCTTCAGATGGATGTGCAAGGTCGTCAATTAATGGTTGGGAATGGCACTTATGGTCTCTTAACGCAAGTCCTTCAGAAAGAGCTTTTGTCAGGGGACAGTTTGTTCGGTCTAAATGTTCAAGTTCTGAAACTTGTGCATCACAATTCGCTAATGGTAGAGGTCTTTCAGCAAGAACGAATAGGGCAAAGGTCCGGAATCTTCTGGCTGCTGCTGAAGGTGCTGAGCTTTTGAAAGCCACACAGTTGAAGGTGATGAAATTTGTGGTGCATGCTATTAATCTTGTCTGTCTTTGGTACTCAATGATGTCATATTCTTTTATAGGCAAGAAAAAAGCGGCTGCGTTTTCAACGAAGCAAAATACATGATTGGGGTCTGGTTGCACTGGAACCAATTGACGCAGAGGACTTTGTCATTGAATATGTTGGCGAACTAATTCGTTCACGAGTAAGTTTGAAGTTCTCTTAATTTGGTCGGGTAAATTTTGTTCTTAAATTCTTTTATGCTGATTTGCCTCAATTTTGCATCCCTTAAAACAGATATCTGATATACGTGAAGGACTGTACGAGAAAATGGGAATTGGGAGCAGCTACCTATTTAGACTGGACGATGATCATGTGGTCAGTGGACCTAGCTTTCTTGGATTAGTTTTTTTTCTTCGTATATTGTCGTGTGTTGTCTCCTTTCTTATTCCTTTGTGGACAATTTACCTCCTGTAGTGAATACATATGTGCCTAGGGACTATTTACATGTCCTCTCCCTTGCGAGGACGTTGGAAATATTGTTTTCCGTTTGGCATACATGAACACCTATATAATAATAGAATGAATACATGATGCTGCCATCTTTGCTGTAAACTTTTGATGCATGGGCTGGGAACTTGGGTTACTGATTGGCTATGGGTTTGCATGGTCTAGTTTCTTAATGTAGAAGAAATCTGATTTCTAGAAAAACATGTGAGGTCCAAACTGAAATGCTGAGTTCAAGTGATTGTTTCAAAAGCTTTGGTCTAGTTCCATGAGGATACGCTGCTGTTTCAACTTCATCTTGCATGCTCTTGGTAGTTCCTGTCATTCTAGGTTTTATGTAGTTTTGGTCGGATTTGATTAGTCTATTTGAAATTTGTAAGATTTCTCCAAGCACTTTTAGTCCTGTCCACAGCTGTAAGCTTTTCTATAGGAGGTTGATTCTCTTGAAGAAGTCTGTATCATCAGAGTCTCCTTTATTTTCACTCAAGTTAAAGTTATGATCCTTTCGCGCTTAGTCAATTTCATTTTTCTTTATCTGCATGTGGCAACTAAACTTCTTATTTTCCTTGTTGTCGTCACTCTTGCAAGAGTTGACCCTTCAAAGTCACTCACGTGTTATACATGCTATGGCAACGAGTTAAATACATCTTTGTTTGCTCTGCAGGTAGATGCTACAAAGTGTGGTGGGATTGCGAGATTTATAAATCATTCTTGTGAGGTAGCCCACTTGAGATCACCTCTCAAATTGTTGTCCTAGTAAAAGCTACTTGATTCTTGACACGTAGTGTTTCACTTGTTATTATATGCAGCCCAACTGTTACACCAAGGTTATAAGTGTTGAAGGCCAGAAGAAAATTTTCATATATGCAAAGCGGCATATAGATGCTGGTGAAGAAATTACTTACAATTATAAGTTCCCTTTAGAGGAAAAAAAGATCCCGTGCAACTGTGGCTCTCGAAAGTAAGTTGTTTGTTGAACTTCCCTATGCCTTAGTATCACGCTCCTAAATCCCCCTGCTCCTTTTTTTGTGCGCAATTCTATGTTCTCTTCTTATGGTGTACAATTTATACTGAACTTCTCTCAGATGCCGTGGTTCATTGAATTAGGAATGACTTCAAAATTCTGGTAAGTCTTGCATTCTTGTAAGAGATGAACTTTATGCTCCTTTTAATAATGCTGATACGTGGTGTCTGACTGCAATTTTTCAACTTCTTTCTTCAAAGTTTGTTCTTGGTGGACTGATGCCATGGGATATCATAGGTGCGATCGAATTTCTGTTGCATTTTCCCTTTGTTAAGAATTCCTGCGTCATTTCCCCCCATCTCTACAGGATATCAAGTTAAGCACCCCCCCCCCCCCTCTCTCCCTTTCTACAGGATATAAAAGTGCTAAGGAGTAGGAGATAGCTTCTAAATTTGTTTGTTGCGGCGATCTTCATCTTGGCAATCTTAAGGTAGTAGTACTCGCTAACTCTTAACGTGAGGTAGAGGCTGATTGGTAGGTGCTATGTCTTTACTCATAATTTGGTAATTGGTATGTGTGTGTGTTGCTGACAATAGATAAATGAGCTGCACGTTTGGGCAGACTGAATTACCAGTGGTTTCATTTGTTCAATGCTTAACTGTTTACGAGACAGTGTCAAAACTTCGCTATTATAACTGTTTTCTTCATACCATTTTTCTTGACTTTTGATCGAGACACACATTGGGTTCGTGGGGGAAGGGAGGAAAATAATCCCTTTTTATAAATGATCCCATAGTCAAAATGTAACTATGAGGATATAATCCCATAGTCAAAATGTAACTTTAGAGCGTAGTCATTGATTCACTTTTTATAAATGATCCCGGGAGGCTGTCTGATGTTCTCATGGTTTAGAGTTCTTGGTCATAAACATGGTTGGGATGCCTTATTGCGGCAGTAGATTGTTTTACAAGGATGAGATGGAGGTTATAGGCTGGCCAACAGAGCAAACTGTAGTAAGTTTTGGTGCTAAGAAGTAATGAATTTTTTTGGTGATATGCCTATGTTCATGTAGGATCTGGCTTTTTTATTCATTTCCTGTTTGGTAGAGTATTACTCCCTTTGAGTCTTGCCCTTGGGAGAACCCATCTCCCTTTACCAGTTCATTAGAGTGACAAGTCAGTGGTGTTTTATTGTAGCATGAACGTTAAGTAGGGTTGATGTTGATTAGATATGTGTTAATAGGTGAACATGTGTTTTTAAATCAAGTTAGTATCTTTTGATCAGGTGGGAAGAGAAGAACAGTGGTTCCGTCTGTAGAGGGAAGAACACCGTGGTTTTCACATGGTTTTCTGTGTCTTGAATTGGAGAAGAACAGTGGATCATTCCTTCAATTGCCAAAGATGACGCAAGTTATTATGATGTTTCAGGTTCTTCACAAAACAATGGCATCACAGGAGGCTAGTCGATGTGGTCTATGGTGATCTTTTGTTGAGTTCTTTTCCCTACTCTTTTGAAGATGCGTTGCTGATTGATGTGCATATTCTTGTAGATCTGACTTATGTTACAAATCAGTTCTCTTCTTCCAAAACTATAGATCAATTCTTTCATTTCTTCCTCTCTATCTGACATTTTTGGAGTACAAATCCCTTTTGTACAGACAATCTTTGTTGTTTATATGATAACAGTTGAGACATAGGAAAGTTTTACAATAAAATGCCAACACCGTTCTTAGAGCCAGAGGTAAATAGTTGTACGTCAGCAACATTGGCCATTGGTTCGGAAATCGGAACTCGTTAGTCCTCATTTTTTGGTTCATCTTATTATGCATAAATTACTCGTCACCGGAAGGTATTATTGTGTGTATGACGTTTACTTCAATTATTATCTGAGAATTTTGCTGTCCCATTCATTGGCATTGGTTAATTCAGGGATCTGGTTCCTGACCTTGGTAGGAACCTGTGAGCGAACTGGTACTAGCCTCTTGCTGTAGATTAAAATTGATAGGTCTGTGTGGATCTGGGTGGCGGGGGTGAGTAATTAACGAGAGGAGTAGGATTTTCTTATTAGGCGCAAAATTAGTGCATTTCTTAGTTCAGGCTCCGTGCATTTATCTTTAACTGCTTCTCTCCCTTCTGTCCGATCTGCCTATGTTGTTGCAGGTTGGCATCAGGTGGAAGCCGGGACGGATGCCGCATTACAGGGGGTTCTCAAACCCATTGGTATGCAAGAATGCCAATTCATGAACGTGAAGGAGTGCCATCAAGGCACATGGCCATATCTCTCCGGCAATTATAGTTCAAGAGAATGCCGGGGTTGAAATTGGACTTCGTCCATTTCCTTCACCCTGTTAACAGATTATGTGGGTTCTCCATATCCTAATTGGGGTTGGATTCCAGGCTTGGTTTAATAATAAAAGGTGGATGAAAGCACAAAGTCTACATTGGTTCAAACTGTGAAAGCCAACAGTCTTTAACCACGGAAAAGAAGAAAACCAAGCTAATAAGTGGCTTCCTAATTTTTGGCAAAGTAGCTCTTCGTCGCAGCTTCTTGCTAGCTCTTAGCTATTGGTTTGCATGTCATGACATGACATGACATGATGCTCTCTACACACAGATCCTCGGATTTGGGACCAGGTGGGTGTTGGAGTTGGGACCGATGACAGTCTAATGGATGCTGCTGCGAATTTCTATTGACGTTGTGCCAGATATAACTCCGCCTGTGTATTAGGTTTCAATGCTTATGCCTTGCACAGCCGGTCCCAAGCCCGGATAAAGGAGGAGGGATGCTTGTCTTCTGTCTTCTGTTTGAAGAGTCACTGCTCCATGTTGCCTAGTCGATTGGTGCGATCGTATGAAGCATGTAAGAACCCTTACAAACTCCTCTCTTGGACTTGCGTTCGCATCATGGTAAATCAGATTAGATCGAAATAGGGGCCAAAATGTGTAACCACTTGAGAGATCCTTGTAGCTTTCAATATGGGAAGAGTTTCCAGCCATGATAATCTGTATGCATTGCTCTATGGTTCGTTTCATTTGAGGCAGTGGTACTGTCGAGCTCTTGCTACCTTCACATTGTAATTGTAATGGTTAAATGGTTTGTTTAATTCAGGAGTTGCTCCTCACTCGAATATGCTCCAGCAAAAGAGCCTGTAAAATAATGAAAAGAGGGTACCTAGTGGGCGGAAATTGCTATTAAAGCTCTTTTTTCTTTTGCTTATCTTGTCTTGTCCTTTTTCTTTCTCTTTTGCATCTTGCTGGCGATTGTCTTATTTATCTTTGGAGAACAATGTGTAAGTTACTACAATTGTATAGTCCATTCGGCACGGAAGTGGCCGTAAAGCTCTAGCAAATAGTGGAGGGGGTCGGCAATGCTGAAAACCAAACATAGCAATGGCATCTTCAAGACCAAGAAGAGCGATTGGTCAATCCCAGCATGTAAAATGGTTCGACCTATGTCAAAGGGCTACGAGATAATAAATAAATAAATAACCGCAATTGCTACTTGAAAAGGTTAAAATCGTCGAATTTCAATGAGAGAATTGTATCTAATGTTGAATCTCGTCGGACCGCGGTCGAGGAAGAGAGAAAAACACAAAGGAAACATGAAGAAAAGATGCAAATTTTGATGGAAATGCACAACAGATGGTCTAAAAGAAAACGACTGAAATGCATAACAGTGACGATAGATATAAAGTATAAACGAAAAAATTCATATATAAATTCGGGTAATTGATACAAATATTATTTTTTAAAAAAATTTACCACCAATATGGCGGTTTTAAAAGTATTAACACGGGTATTGTGTATTTGTGTAGGTTAAAGCGCGTGTCCGCCCGACACTCAGGAGGGGCCGCTTTTTGAAATTTTTACCCGAGTAACAGGCGGTGGCGCCTGAGACTCTAGCGGCCCTGCCATCCCCCTCCTTTTTTACTTCCCTCGTCCGACGCCCCATATCTTATCTTCTTCTTCCTCTTCAGCAAACCAACAACCACCCACCACTCCTCGCTCTTCTTGCCCGATCTCCAGCGCCCACGCCGGACAGAAAGGCTGTCTCGCCACCTCCTCAAGCAGACACGCCGGAGACAGAGGCGGCCGCGCCTGAGTCCCAAGCAAGCCCATCATCCCCTTTCTTCTTCGCTCACACTCGCACCCCTATTTTTTTTATTTGGAGAGAAGATGTTCGACGATGACGAAACAGTCGCCGATAGAGGAAGGGGGAGAGAGCGGCGAGGTTGTGGCGGCAGCCAGTATCGTGGTGAGGATCTCGCCGGCGACAATATTTTTTAATTGAGTTTTTATGTATTTTTTTTTTGTTTTTTCAGCTCTTAGGCTTATGAACAGTTATTCCATGAGATCACCGCCTGCGACAATTGATCCAGCTCCGGTCGATTCGGTACTTCTTTGGGGACATGGTAAACATCGTGTCGACTTAGTTTGGGCAAACGAGGTAAGTGTTTCATAACAACTACTTCTTTAAAGTTTATTAGCCAGTTAGATTAGACCATTATAGATTTTTACTAGGTGAACTGAACTTAGAATAGAATTACGTATGAATTTTTTTTTGAAATTAGTATAAGTTTAGATTAGATAGATTTTTAGATTGATAGATTTTACTAGGTAAAATTAGAATTACGCATGAAATTGAATCAATATAAGCTTTGTTCACTATAGGCTGGTGATCGATCTTACCATGTTCGATGGTACCACCAATTTAGTCACGTATCATGAACATTATCTGACGTATCTCGGAGAGGCGGGCTTGTCTAGTGTTCTGCCCCTGGTCCATATGAATGTTGATGCAAGTTTGATTACTACGCTCGTAGAGCGTGGGCGACCCGAGACGTCGACCTTCCACTTTCCGTTTGGTGAGACCATGATCACTTTAGAGGACGTTGTGACACTGGCCGGCCTAGCGATCGACGGTGATGCCATTGTAGTAGACATACCTTATGAGGAGTGGTCAGAGATCTGTGTGAGACTGTTAGGACGGGTTCCTGATGATCTTTCCGGCGGTGTCGTTAGGATTGGTTGGCTGAGGGATGAATTCAATCATCTGCCGGCAAATGCATCACGGGAGACTACAGAGCAATTTGCACGAGCTTATGCTCTATCTCTGATGGGAAGTGTATTGTTCCCGTATCGGTCTGGAGCTGCGGTGCATCTACAGTACCTAAATTTGGTGGAGAATTGGCAGAGAGCTGGACGGTTCGCCTGGAGAGCAGCTGTTTAAGCCTACCTGTACCATTAGATGGGCAGGTCGGTTTTGCACATTACACATTCCTCTTCCCTAGGAGGTGACCTTGGTGGATAGGTCCCCTTACTGTAGCTCTGGGCGTGGGAGCGATTTTCACATCTGGCATCGCAACATACAGAGACGAGGATGCAGATTGCCGAGGATGCATTCCCATGTGGTGTTTGATGGCTTTTGGCCAACACTCGTCAGTACGGTGACCAGTTGTTCCAGTACAAGTTGTGGTTTGACAAGATGGGGACCATGGTGGTTAGTATATAACATTTCAGCAGTGATGTGGCACTATCCAGATCGCGAGCTCTGGCAGTTTGGCATGAGGCAGGATGAGCCTCATCCGCCACATAGTGAGGCTGAGGTTAGGTTTTCCTTCGCCAGACTCATCGTGGGCCATCGCCGTGGGCAGCAGTTGGTACACGCCTCCAGGGAGTCACTTGCTTTTTGGAACCGTCGACATGAGTTCATAGCGAGGATGCCATACAGTGAGGAGGCTTTAGCCTACCACTCGGAGCATATGGAGTGGTATCGACATATTACCAGACGTTCAGGCACACGGAGAGGAGCTGCAGTGGAGGTAGTGGTTAGTTATTGATTGTTTCATATTTTTGTTTGATTTGTTTTGAAATTCGTAACTGTGTGGAATCTCTTACATTTTAAATTTAATTTCAGTACGACACTATGGAGTACGCTGAGTTGAGTTTACGTGATGGAGTACGGGCCAGAGGGATGTCCACCGACCAAATGATGGAGTTGGCTAACATGATGGCATCAGGGTTGATGCTTTAGGTTTGGATGGGCGCCGACATCCTTATGTTATAGTACCTATACAACGGTATCTTGATGAGCACAACATGGCCAGATGACCTGAGGGTACGGATCCGACACCGGACTGGGCCATCCTAGAGCTATAATTCAGACAGGAGCATAGGAGGCGTAGACAACGACGTGAACATCGCGACGTACCTAACCCAGATAGGATTTTAGATCGACAGTAAGCACAACCCGTTCAGCCTACTACGACCTTCTAGTTCATGCCGCAGTTTCAGCCAACACTTCTTCGAAATTTCAGGAAAACACTTCATTGGGATTTCAGCCAGGGCCTCATTCAGCCTTTCATCATCCTCCTCAGCCGCAGGTTTCAGCCAGATACTTCTTAGAGATTTTAGCCACTAGACGATAGCTTCCATACACCGCCGCAACATGCTATGATGGGAGGCGGATATATGGCCTCAAGTAGTGATACTAGAGCCGCCTCCCCGATGGGATGGAGAAACACGCTAGAGGGGGATTCTACTTTCCATCAATCAATGTGGTCTTATGACTAGCAGATGCGGGCGCATGGAGTTGGAGGCGGTGCACCAGATGAGCATGGTTTGGTGTAATGTGAATGTCCACTTTTGATTTGTGCTTCTGTCTCCAACCTCATCTTATCAAATTTCTCCAATAATCGCCAATAAGTATGCTGCACAAGAGAAGCTATAGGAAGTGAACGAATACCTTTGAAAACGCCATTGACGCCCACCATTATAGTTACCATGTGCTAAGCTCCAACGAAGTTGATGTTGGTCCACCTAGTTATCACGAGAAATATTTTTATCAGCGACTATCTTCTTAAAATTCTCAACTTGACGATCGAACTTCTCCAATCGTTTTTCTCCGGCTAACACAATAAATAACTAGTCGAGTTAGATATATGTCCATTACAAAAATTAAATGAAAATAAATTATACATAATCATAAATAACCATAACAATGAAGGCTTACCGACTCGAAAAAGTTGATTATACATAATCTTGTTTTTAGTCTTCCTTTGCAAGTTGCTTGCATAGTTTCGCATGCACCACCTCCACTCCCAAGTCCCAACCTCTTCCGATGTCACTCATGGCTTCATAGAGTCCTGCATGTCTACCTGAGATGATGCAGACATCATTTCGATTAGTCAAACCTTGAACTTGTCTTATTAACCATGACCAACT